CCATCAAAACATCAACACTAGTGTTCTTCTAACAGGAATACTTTGTCAGTCAGGGCACAGTCACTTAAAACACTAACCACAGTTGGCATTAAGGTGTTCCCATATTGTATATAAATTTATGAATAGTAAAGGGTTACTTGCTCTGTGGCTTTGTTTCATATTGTAATAGTTTATTATTATTTGGCCAATTATGTAAGCAATATTGTAAAAAATGGAACAGGGCAGCAGTTGATTTGAAATATTTTTGAGTTTTGAACTGATGTAAAATATTGATTTCGTTCATCAAAACTAAAATTTTGCTTTGCATTATTTCATTGAAAGTATTTATTTGGGTTGAATCAAAGCAGTTAAATTGTTTGTTACCTCATGAAATATTCTTTAGGTTGAGTTAGCGAAAAAATCACATTAGAAACACATTACAAAACAGAATGGTATATCCTTATTGAATGGGAACAAATGAAGTACTAGAAACTAAAGAATGTAGTACTTTGTATTATCTAGCAAAGAAAAAAAATGACAGTTACTGTAAATGCCTACTGTATCTCATCTGCATCGTTTGGCCACATGTCATCTGTTTTTTGCTTATACATATATGAATGATCATTTGCATAATATGTGCTGCGGTCCATCACGGACTGTCCATTGTGAACAAAATGATTCTACAAGTGACCCCTGTTTATAGATGGTCAACACCTGGACTGGACTCAGGAATAGGAAACAGGTGTGATTGGCCTGTTTACATACATTCAATCAGCAGTTTGTGTCTGTAGCCATTACCATTTTTACATTTTGATTGTTGCCTGAATATCTGTGATTGAGGAGTGTTTGAGGAATATTTTATCACAGTATTTGTGATTGAGGAGATGCTTGTTAGCAGTTGTAATAAACAGTAACAGGGTGAACACTGTTATTAAGCCAAGGGGACACATAAAGTATTATGAGCTTGTGTGAAAACAGAAAATAATGCTAGGAAAGCTCATTGTGTGGAATGTGTCCTTATTTCTGTACATCCTTCAGTGTAGTAGACAGAGAGAAGGCAGGCAGAACCCTGTAAACAGGCCTTTAAAGCATTTACTCTCTTCCACTAAGCGTTTAACCTTGATTCTCTCCCTGCCTCTGCCCCACTGATCACAGATCCAATACACACACACTAACACCAAACAATCCCCTTATGTTGGAGCTCCAGCCCCCACCCACACTCCAGAGAACACTAAGCCCAGAAAGGAGGGTGGACATTTTGCTTAACTGCCAAAGCAGTGCACAGCCAAGTAATTACAAACACCCACACAGCAGAGAGGTAATATAACACCACTATCTGTGTCTGTATCTGTTTAGTGCGCAAAAGTAAAAGTTTAGTATCAGTCTCTGTATTCACATTTGAAGTGAAAGTGGGCATGGTGTTAACAGGAGGTGGGGGTGGTAAGTGCTAGATAAATTTTTTATAGACCTCTGTAGTCGTGTTGTCATTGTGTAGTTGGCATCATACCCACATTAAGAATGAGTGAAGCTCTTAAAAAGCTGCTGCTGTGTCCTGTGGTGAACTAAGATGTTCCAAACTGGATAGATTGCCAAATCCCCTGAATTACAAGATCATTATGGAGCCAAAATATGAATATTGCTACATACAAGCTAACACCACTGTGCACTGAATTGACATCATGATGTGCTGTGCAACTCGACAGTGATAGTTAAGTTTCTTTGGCAGTAGTAGACTACAGTCTGAGTAGCTGGTGTTGGTATATAATAGTGTTGAAGTTTAATAGTAGATTTACTTTGATGCTATGATGTTATGTCATTTCAGTGCGCGAGAGTTAGCTTGGATGTAGCAAGTATGTAGCATTATTCATAATTTGATTGCTAAGTGGCCCCATAATTCAGATAATCCAGTGACTCTTTAGGAGAAAATGTACACAAGACAAAACAATTTTGTAACAATTTAGTTTACTACAGGATGCAGTAGCAGCGATTTTTGAAAATATCTTTCATTTTTTCCATAGATACAAACTTCTGAGACCTAGACCTCCTAATATGGGCAAGATGCTAACTACAGAATGACGACATGACTTCAGAGGTCAGTATATGATATATGTAATATGAATAGTGCAGCAGCAGGACAGCCAGTGCATCTTTGTGTGTGTCTGTGTGTGTGTGAGCTGTTGTCATTGAGCAGTGATTGACTGTTCCTGTCTACGCAAGGAGACTGTCACTCACTTTCCAAACCTCAAGACTCCTGCTGTCAGTTAGTTGGACCCCTAAAACACACACACACACAGACACACACAGACACACACACGCACAAACACACACAGACACACACACGCATACGCACACACTGTTGCTTCTGGTGATTTTATCATTTTTCATGTATAAGCAGAGAGGAGAGAGAAAGAAAGATAGAGAAAGAAAAAGATGTGTGCATGTGCTAGAGACTCATCAACAGCAGTGTTACTGTTACTATGAGAACTCTTCTGTGAACTCCACCCACACTGCAACGTGCATCTGCACCTGACACACACACACACACACACACACTCCTACGTTTTGTGTTGCAAGTAGGACAAGAATGATTTTCAAAATACAGTAATATGCCCTCTTAAACCTTTTAAACCTGTAAATGCCCTCTTAAACCTTTTCAACTTTTTCTTAAATTAATTTTTTAGTATTGTTTTAGTGTAAGAAAGTGTGTAAAAACTACAACAACAATTGAAACTGACGTGACTTTCTTTAACCAAAAAAAACATTCAGGTCATGGATTAACATCATAAATGAAGGGCTTGCAGTCACTCACTCTCTCAGTCACTCACACACTCAGTAACTCACACACACACACACACACAGTCGAGGTCTTGTTGCTCCTGATTTGTATGGATTTATTCTAGTGTGTGCACTTTAAATGTTAAAGTGGGCTGGTGGTCCCTGTTGACTAAGAAGAGAAAACATCTGGCCTTTTGGCCTTCGGTTAAGGTGAAAGTAAAGCATGGAATACTAATGAGGACGCTCATATCATCTCCCTGTCTCTCTCTCTCTCTCTCTCTCTCTCTCTCTCTCTTTCTCTCTCTCACACACACACACACACACGCACACACAAAAGTGCCTTCTCCATCAGTCATTATACTGATCACTGGGCAGCAATTAGGTAAGTTAAAACATTACAAAAATGAGAACTTTTAAATTATTTAGAACCTTAAGAAAATTTAGAACTTCTGGATCATTTCAAACCTTACAAAGATTTAGAAGTTTTAGATAATTTAGAACCCTAAGACAATCTAGAAATTTTAGATCATTTAGAACCTTAAGACGATCTAGAGCATTTAGAACCTTAAGACAATCTAGAGAATTTAGATCATTTAGAACCTTCAAAAATCTAGAACTTTTAGAACATTTAAAACCTTGAAAAGATTTAGAACTTTTAGACCATTTACAGCCTTAAGAAAATGTAGGACTTTCATTTAATTTAGAGCTTTTAGAAAATTTTGAATGTTTAGATCGTTTAGAACTCTTAGATGATTTAGATCCTTTGAAAAATTTAGACATTTTTTTTATTACAATTCAGACTATTTAGAACCATTAGAAAAGTATAGAACTTTTAGGTGATTTAAAACGTTGAGGTAATTTAGAACCTTAAGAAATGTAAAACTTTAAGATCAATTAGAGCCTCAAGAAAATGTAAAATGTTTAGATGATTTAGAACTTTTACATCATTTAGAAGCTTAAGAAATCAAAACTTTTTAGTTCATTTCTTTCAGATAATTTGGATTATGTGTTTATGTAGTTTAGTACCTTAGGAAAGTTTAGAACGTTCAGATAATTTAGAACTTTTAGGTAATTTAGAACCTTATGGAAATTTAGAACTTTTAGATAATTGGAAACATTTAAGTAATTTAGAACTGTAACACAATGTAGAATTTTAGGGTAATTTAGAACCTTTAGAAAATGTAGAACTTTTAGATCATTTAGAATCTTCAGAAAATTTAGAACTTTTGGATAATTTAAAACTGTTAGATCATTTGAAACTGAATGAAATGAATGAATGGACATGGTGTGCAAACAAGCAACAGGGTTGACTCTCTGTCTCTCAAACACATTTGAGACACATTTCAGCCTGATTCACGTCAACATCAATAATGTAATATTTTATGAAAGTGTAGTATTCAGTTGAATCAAGTTATTTCAATTTTCATGTACTTTTTTTGAGTGTTGAAGCACAAACAGATTTGTTCCAGTGATGAGGTGGTGACTCTAAGAGACTCTCTCTCTCTCTCTCTCTCTCTCTCTCTCTCTCTCGCTCTCTCTCTCTCACTCTCTCACTCTATCTCTCTCTATAACTACAGTGATTGGCTGTTACATAAGAAAAGGACCCCAAATCTTGCATTATATAAACAGCATGTCCTGTTGAGTCTTCTGTTGAGCTTTTGTATTACACTGCATTACATAAGACACACATAAGTGGAATGTGGACAGAGTTCACAACACAGGAGCCAATTTCTGCCCAAAATACAAATTAGCTCCACTCTCAGCTCATCAGAACTCCATAAAGTAAAAATTCAAAGATTAGTGAAAGATTTTCTGTATTTCCCTGTAGACAATGTACTTCACAGGTAATCTGATGATAAATTAAGCGGCTCAGTAGACAGCACAGAGTGGGTAACAGTGTAGACACAGTTACATCTCAGAAGCAGCATTTACAACATGTTCCAAAACTCAACATGTTGTTAGACATGAAGAGTGTTCTCTCATTACTAATCTCATTCAACCAGCTGGAACAGGATGAAAGAGTAACAAAACATTAAATGATTGGTAAAGATGGACAGAAGCTAGAGGACAGAGTGTGAACTTTGACCATTACTGTCCAAAAGGGCCCAATAAGTAACCAAAAAACAAGTTTAATGTTCATATTAACCATCAAATGTGGGAGAGAGAGAGAGAGAGAGAAAGAAAGAAATGGAGAGAACAGGGAGAAGTAGTCAGTGTGAGAGCAAAAAAGAAAGAAATGAAGAGAGAGAGAGAGAGAGAGGGAGAGAGTGAGAGAAAGAAAGAGAGGAGGGGAAAATAGACAGTGTGAAAGAGCAAAAAAGAAAGAAAGAAAGAAAGAAAAGAAAAAAATAGAGAGCGTGAGACAGAGAGCAATTGTTAAAGAGCAAAGGAACAGTTAACAGAAAAGCAGAAGTGAAGACGACAGGGTCAATGAAGAGGGAGTAAACAAGAGAGAGAGAGAGAGAGAGAGAGAGAGAGAGAATAAAGTAGGCTCAGCTTGGTGACTGTAGCAGGTCACTGTTAAGAATGTTCCCTGAAGAGAAGTCATCTCAGCGGTCGGAGGGCCTGAGGCAGCGCCTGCTCCACAAACTGCTCTATTGCACCGGAGACATGCAGCACCTCCACACACTCATGCAGGGTAAGAGTCCACAGCACTATACACTCATTTCACATACAACAGTTTACCTAAAAATATCAGATTTACACTTTATTTACACTGTAACGTGGTCAATCAGCCAAAATTTTCCATATCTGCTTTAGTTTTGCACTGGAGCTACAAGATTAAAGTAGCTAACAACTGGCATATTGAAAACTGCATGCATAAAACATCACACACTTGTTCCAAACTGCAGAGAATTCATCTCAAATTCCTGACACTGTGTGAAACACTGGACATACTGTTGCCCATTTTTATACATAATAATATGCTGTACAGCGGGAGGCCGAGTCCTGGTTCTAGAGATCTACCACCCTGCAGAGTTTAGCTCCAAGCCTAATCTAACACACCTGATCCAGATAATGAAGGCCTTCATCTGAACTGCAGGACCAGGATTGGGCAGCCCTACTGTACCGAAGCAACACAAGCAAGTCTGGCTGAGATTCAGAGAGGGATTACTGGCCAGGCCAGAGGGGCTATCGGCAAGGGGCCTCTGACTGCCAGGTGGCCTGAAGCAGCTTCAGAACACAAGACCCAAGGCAGCTCAAAGAATAGGGACAATCCAGTACAAATGCAAAAAATTAAAGGGATGAAAAGCCACTGAATAATTACGTAATCAATAAATAAATGAAATAAAGGTCTGAATGAAGTAAAGCCCATAATCTATTACCTTGTTTAAAATAATGTAAAGCCCCCAAATATCAAAAGTGTGCAGAAATATAACTGTGCAGAAAATAAAAGGCTATTGCACCTTGAGAGATAATACAAAAGTACATAAACAAAAATAAGTTGTTTCTAATGTTATTTTTTAGGTCTCTTGTGCCCAGAGACTTTGTGATACTGTGTTCTGTCTCTACTGAGATCACTTATGAACTCGACATGGTTTGGGGCGAGTGTGGAATCATTTAGGCATGCAGGTTGCACGATACTAACTGGCTGCTGTGAGTTTCCATTACTTGTTAACTACATTTGTCTTGTAGCTTCAGTGTACATTTAATTCTTGGCTGAACCACTGCTTTAAGAGTTAACAAATGTGCAGCATCCTCTCTCTGCTTTCCTCCTTTATGAGAAGCTAAAAGCAGAAATATTCACTGTTTTCTTACCTGCCAATGTGTGAAGATACACACACCCACACACACACACACACACATAGTGAGAGGCAAAGATATTGGGAGAATGAGGTAAAATGGATTATTTTTATTACACATTCATAAAATTTGTATTCCAGATCAAAAGATGAGACTAAAGACAGAATGTCATATTTCATTTCTGGGCAATGTTTTCCAAACAAAATAAAACAGTATGCGACAGGAAAAAAAAATTATGTTTACCAATTTCAGCTGTGCATAAGTATTGGGACACATTCATTGAAAGAAAAATGAAATTGCTTACTGTTAGTATTTGGTCCCAAACTCTGTACATTCAGTAACTTCCACTGTTATTGACTTCCACTATCTAACATCCACGGCTCCGGCTCTCACTCAGCAGACTCAGCAGATGCGGATACTTCTGGATTGATGCTGCCGTTTTGCTGGTTCAACAGAAACCATTGTTTTAAAAGCTGCACATTTGGGTGTCCTAACAAAGTATAACAAAAGCATAAAAGTTGTGAAAACACATCACATGTTCACAGTCTTCTCTTCCATACTGGATCACTTATTTTTCCATGGAATGCAAAAAAGCCTCTGCAAACTGCTGTTTCCATGGCAGCGTGTTTATTGCCTGGTTCTAAACTCAGTGTCACTATGCTACAGTGTTTCATTTGTTGCTGTGTGTATGCATTGGTTAGCTGTTACTAGTTAGAAAGTGACTAATGGACTGGTGGATTATTTGCTCCAGAACTCTTCTGGCATCATCTTTGTAGTTCTTTGCAAAACCACCCTTGACCTTATGCTCTTACTGCTGATGAGAGTTTTGCGTCTTGTTATTTAGTTTCTGTAGTCCTTCTCTTGAAGTCTACTGCAAGTGGTGAGTGCTAACATTCACCCCTGCACTCTGCACTCTAGACTGTCTTTTATTTCCCTGGATGTTATTTTTTCTTCACAGCTGTAACAATGTTCCTGCCATCAGCTGCTTTGGTCCTCCTGGGACGACCTGATTGCCACAAATTGCTTCAACTGCAGAATGGCTTCAAAAAAATAAACTCTGCCTTTTGGAGTTGCCCAGTCAGAGCCCAGACCTTAACCCAATAGATGTGCTAAGGAATGACCTCACGAGAACCATTCGCACCAGAAATCTGAAGAATATGGCTGAGCCGGAGCAGTTTTGTAAGGAGGAATGGTCGAGTATTTCTTTTGAACTACTAGCTACCAGAAGTGCTTGCTTGAGGTTACTGCTGCCAAAGGAGGTTCAACCAGTTATTAAATCCAAGGATCCACTTACTTTTTCCTCTACCACTGTATGTGTTGTGCGCATTGTGCTTGAACAAATCGTATTTTATGACCAGTTAATGTAGAAAACTAGGTAATTCCAAAGGCTTCACATACTTTTTCTTGCCACTGTATGTAGTGAATAGTGAATGAGTTAATATGAGGACCACGCTGAATACACCCTATCCCTTTCTCCTTCTGTCTATCTGTCTCTTTCTCTCTCTCTCTTGTACTCTCCCTCTCAGACCAGCCGTTGTCTGTGCAACTGTTGGAGTGGAGTTTGCGGGGTGTGTCTGGTGTGATTATGGTGGATAATCCTGTGAGTGGAGCTCTGATTCTGATAGCTCTGACTCTCTCCAGCCCCTGGCAGGCTGTGCTGGGCAGCATAGGACTACTTGCATCCACAGTCACGGCCATCATCATTGGCCATGAGCGGTGAGGAAAGTACGATGCCCACAGAGCCAGATGTGTCAGATGCGTATTTTGCTTTTGTTTCAGTTTGTAATGACACCACAAGTAAAGTGCTCAATATTATGCCCAATAATCAGACAAACTCCTTATTTGTACTTCCACACAGAGGGGACAGAAACTAAAGCAGGAGGAACTTCACAGCAGCAGCTTTTTATCAGAGCACATTAAGTAGTTCAGTGAAAATTACCTACTTATATGTTTGTGCTTTTCATGTTTTGAATACTGAATATTTAGAAACTATTTTTACACTGAGCTAAGTTCACATTAAATACACCTACCCTTTAGGAGGTGTAAGTGTTAGGGACATCAATGGAATAAAATAGACAGCTCATAGAACATAAATGACATATTTAATAAAGTTTGGGAAACGAATGACCGGCCGTCTGGTATTTCTATATAGTCCAATCTGGGCCTCTTTAAAAAAACATTTGGATGCCTCTGCTCCAACCCATTCATCATTGGTCAGTTTTTGACCAGAGGGTTCCTGTTAACCAGATATTAATGGGGTGGTGGACCATTCTCAGCACAGCAGTGATACTGATATTGTACACTCTCGAAAAACAAGATACTAAACTGAACGTTTTTTGGGTACAAACTCTCTCACTGGTGTGGGGACCTCAAGGATAAATAATTTATATCTAAATAATTTATATCATTTATATCTTGTGTTTTTAAGTTTAAAGTTTATAAGTTCTGTCTCTAGGAAAGTGAATGTACCGTACATTTAAAACTCATTTAAATTACACAACTGGGCCTTACAGAAATAGTTTGGAACAATCAAATTAGCATAATTTATCACTTACCCCAGATTCAGTCGATCAGCCAAGATATGTTTGGTATCTGAAGTTTGCTTCTTTAGTTTACAACAGGAGATACTAGACTTTTGTTGCTAAAAAAACACTGGACTGTTTGTCACTCAACTCATCTCTGTAAATACGTGTACAAAAACATCTTTTGACCCACTTAAAACACATCCAGGTCTTTATTTGTTTCGCACAGACAAATCAATGTGGTTTAGAACACATTGTGACCTACTTTAGTTTATAAATACAAAAATAGGTGAATGGTGGGGCAGCCATTGTGAGTGAACCACTGTGAACCACTTTGAACCACTTTCTGCCCAAGATGAGCAAACACTGGGGCTGTGTGAGTTTCTAAACACACAGACGCGCCGTAAGGTCTGCTTTGAGATAGAGTACTCGGGAAATTTAAACAATGTTTGATTACAATTTTGATGACCACATTTTCGTTCATGAAGAAATGCATCAGCAGGATTCTGGACCCACCAGTGACCACCGCCAGACATATTTGCAGATACTCATGTGATCAGGTACAGCGATGTTGCTGAGGTTTTTACACACGTCAGTGTCACTGCTAAGCTAATAATGGTCCCACATGAATGGCTGTGCATCAGCAGGTGAGCTAGATGGAGCTACAAGATGTTTCTAACAAAGTGGTCAGTTAATGTAGAAAATATATTTTTAACATTTTGCATAACCAGCCATGTGTGTTGTGTGTTTTTTTCTGTATAACAGGAAATAACTGTTGAATGTGTGTGTTTGTGTGTGCATGCGTGTGTGTGTGTATGTGATACAGAGAGGAGGTGTCGAGGGGTCAGTATGGTTATAATGGCATGCTGGTGGCGTTGCTGATAGGTGCATTCAACTCTGCAGGAGATTGGTATTGGTGGCTATTACTTCCTGCATGTGTCGCTGGAGCTACAACGTAAGACACAAATCCATGTTTGTTTTTACACATCACAAACGTGTCTCATATGTGTTATATATATATATGTAAGCACCAATATGTTTCATACAGTACTGTGCAAAAGAGACCACCCTTAGTTTATTTGTTTTCCTGTCAAAATAGCCATTAAGTACGAGTCATTCATTTTTTCAGTGTCAGGCGAAAAAAGTGGAAAACATATTTTTCACAGATTTTTCGCCTCAACAAATAATATATCAATTTAAAAATCTCAGTGTTTAGTGTGCCCAAGCTTTGTTATAGCTTCCATTCTTTTTAGGAGACTTGCTTTCAGTTTTTAAAGAAATCTGCAGGGATATTTTTCCACACCTCCAAAGTTCAGTCTTCGAAGTTGGTTGCATTTTCTGCTTCCCATCATCCAGATAATCCCAAACACATTCAGATATGTTGAGATCTGGGCTCTGGGGTGGACAGTCCACTGTCCTGAGAACACCAGCCGCTTTTTTGTTTAATGTGCAAATTTTCTTCTTTTTTATCTTTTTCCTTTTTATCAGTAACACATCCTTTCAGACTCATAGTGTAGAGTTCTCACAGTGGGAGGATGGACAGAAACATCTGTGGATTTTTTCAGATCTGAAGCAAGAGTAGAGCTTGACCTTCTCCTCTCTCTCAAAGATCAAAACTCTAAGTACTGTTTATTTGATGGAGACAGACACTATTGTTATCTGATTTATGTTCCTCTTATTCTTATTCTTATTCTCTCTCTCTCTCTCTCTCTCTCTCTCTCTCTCTCTCTCTCTCTCTCTCTCTCTCAGAACATTTGTCTCTAGTGGTCTGGCTCCTGTTCTGGACCGGTGGGATCTGCCTGTGAGTGTGTTTCCTTTCAACACAGTTCTGCTGCTGTATCTGTCCTGCACTGGCACCAATAACCCCTACTACCCCAACTACCCTGCCCAGCCACTGGGGGCACCGCTTATCAACAACGACACACGGCTACATGTGCCGAAGGTGAGTAAAAGCAACACGAAGGACACTTAACAAAGGTCACACACTAACACTCAACAGAGGGCATTCCAGTCCTGCACGATGACATGATTTCACTAATGGACAGGTGTGAAAATACTCAAGTACTTTGTTACAATGTTTAAGTATTCTTTACTCAGGTATTATTGAAATTGAATATATTCAGCATATTGACTACTTGTACTTACATTTAGACCTTCAAAGTACAAATCACAAAGCCCTGGAGATTTTTCTCTTTTTATTGTACTCTTATCAATCAAGTTCCTGACTTGCTATTCAGGATTATGAGTATGATCAAGGTACCAAATACAGGGCCTCCTGGGGGGTCTGGGACTTGATTAACCTCTTATACCCCTGAATGTCTCAAAAGTCCTGTAAATAAAATTATAATGATGTTAAGCTGTCCGTTAGGGATAAAATAGAAGCTCAAATACAAATTCAGGGAAAGCTCATTGTTTAGCTGCTTCACCCACAATCAGCGAGCTTCAGTCTTTGGTGTTCTTAACTTACTAGAGATGCAGCACTGGTCTGCCTCAGGGTGACACTCGAGCAAATTGGTTCACCTAATTGGTCCTTCATAGCTTAGCGACTGTCACTATACCCGCAATACATCTGCATAGTTGTAAATCTGAAAACTTGCCCAATTTTCCAAGAGACTGGTGGAAAGAGTGAACTGTTGACTAAAGAGGAGATGCGTAAGATCTCAGTTAAAGTGTGAAAGAGCGCATTACCAAACTAGAAAAGACCATTTCCAAAAGAAGAATTGGTCAGTCAAACATTTTGCTGCCTTTAAAGCTAGCATCAGCGCCTCTATGGCGCGTGAGTTAGCAGCCAGCCAGCGCTGGAGTAACCAGCCAACATGGGGCCCCTAAATACCAAAGGGGTATTTCACACACTTAATATGATCAACTCATGTGTAGTATTAAAGTGAAAGAAATGCACACTGTAACTTCAGTATATCTTCTCTTTACTTTTTTCCACAGGAGTTTAATGAAATCAGGTGCAGTGGTGCTTATTATGAAGAGAACATAGTGAAATTAGCCAAAAGGGAAGAAAAATCTGGAATTCTAACTCCACAAAAGCAGCTGTCTCTGTCTACTGCTCAAGGTTTCTCTTTCCTTTTCAGCAACTATGAGTGTACATGTGTGAGAGAGACAGAGCAGAGAGAGAGACATTGATCCTATTCATATTTTATACCTTTGCTGCACTCTTTCAGCTCAATGCTACCCTCACATTCCGGGTAACACAAAACTGTCTTGATCCCACCACTGTGGAATCAGCCCTGATTCTTTAAGAATATTCAACTTTTTTCTATAGATAAATAGCTGCCAAATGCACAACTAATTGGCTGTAACAACCACAGTGCACAACCACAACAAGCTTTTAGTAAAACCTGCTGGTAAACATCAAGTTCTTTGGAATCTTCTCTGGAAATCAGCAAAGGCAGAGAGTATCTTCTATTGAGTCAATGGAGCTAATCTGACATACCTTGTAAAGGACAGACTTAAATTTTTAATATCCATCATCATTAACAAACTCATTAGTGTTCATTGTGACGGCTAATGTTGAATTAGCTATCTAACACAACTTTTTACAAGGCTTGACAGACAAATCATGGGGGCCATTGTTGTAATTAGACCGAATCAAGACCCGGGAATGAATTCTTCAAGCTTCTCAAAAATAAAAAAATGCTAATCTAACATCAGTCCATGTCAGAGGTGCCCAAACCTGGTCCTACAGATACACACCGAAGATCTAACACCTGGCTCTGATATTCAGGTGCCCCTGAAGGCTTTCAACACATGGATCAGATGTGTTAGAATAGGATTGGAGCTAAATTTTGCAGGGTGATAGAGATCCAAGACCAGGATTGAGCACCCCTGGTTCACACAATACCATTCAGTCCTATGGAAAAGGCGTAAACCCATTCCATGTTAGCATAAATACGAGCCGTGGACACATCGAGTACGAGCCAAGAAAAAGACAAGGCAAAGACCAGGAGTTAACAACAAGACCTTTTTCCTCAATGTTCACATTAGGTTTTTCAGTATAAGACATGTTCATTGGCTACTGAACCAGGACAGCAGTGACCTGCACTCCCTTTTAGCTAATCAGAGTGAAGGTTTTGTATTAAACCTGTATAAAAAGGACAATTTTTATTCTGTTTGGATGTGTTGGTAATGTGTTGGTCGTACTGATCCTTTGTTTACTATCATTATAGAATGATAGTAAACAAAAGATCAGTTACTACCAATGAGGAGTCCCTGCTGTCAGCTGGCCAGAAGAAAATGGAGTCCTTCTTACTTCAAGACCAAGACAAGACTGAGGCAAATCCGACACCATAAATTCATGGTCTTGAGACTTGTTTCAGACTCGAGTACCATAACCCTGATCACAACAAACCTGGTAGCACCATGTTCAATTCCAAAGTTAAACCTTCTAGTGACCACTTGTGCCTGCGGAACTCAAGGCATCTGGTACCAAGACAGCAGTGTTCGGTAACACTTTATAATAAGGGCACATGAACTGGCAGTAATTAAGGCATTTACTAATGAATAACTAATCAGAAAGTAATGAGTGATTAATCAGGAACAAATAAATAAGTCATATATTAACAACCACAAGACTAAATTACTAACGCATGTACTAATGAATGAAGATGAAAATAATAGGCTTTATTCAGTGCCTGAATTAATTAGGAATTCATGTGTTAATTAATGTTGTCACAAGATCCCCCTGAGACATTAGCGCTCGGCTAAGCGCAGTTAGCACGACCTCTCGATGTCGGCTCAGTCTGTTTACTACTAGGCCCTGTGAAGCACTGCCACCGCACACATAGCCCTTCACAATAAGAGTCCCTTTCAAAGGAGGAATAACAAATGAACCAAGCAGCATAAAATTAACATGTGATTTTAACCAGACAGGATAGACGTGCCTGACGCCACATATTACTACTACAATCACACGACGCTCGTGAGAAACACAAACACCTTACTATTAAATCCAAAAAGGTTTATTGCAAATAACTAAGCACCAAACCAAATATTTAAGCTACTTTATAACGAATTTAGAAATAATAGTTCCTGCAAATCCGTTCTGTTTCACCACAGATAACAGCTGCATGTTTTACACCTTAGTCTAAAAAGAGGTGAGGCACGAACATACATAACCTACTAGCTAGCACTCACAACACTCAGACAACAATACCACGTGTAAATATTATATCTGCGATGTAAATTACGTATATAATACAGTATGCGTATGCATAACTCACCTTTAAGAGTAAGAAAAATGTGAAATATTGCAAAAAGGCTAAAAGAGAAATATTGAATTTTTTAATCATTATTTCAATTATTTTCATTTGCTGCTCTTAAACGTTGTACCAGAGATATTCACTCAAGACTCTGTGGCCGCTTGACATATAGCATTTACCGCAATTACTGCCATCTACTGGCGAAGAAAAATAGCAGTAATTTCCAGCTGTGGAAACAGTTGAAGTGTTACATTGCAAAATGCTGTGTTTCCATTAATAAAACATTTAGATATAGCAAATTTTCAGTAAATAAGCTAGTTTACAGTTTATTAAACATACAACAGTTTATGTTTCTGTTGTAACAGTATGACATTGCAGTATGACATAGGTAATCATAAATTGCATGAATAGAATGAAACTAACAGATCTTCTAGCAGTTCACCATGTGTACTAACATTCTTTTTGTATGCTTAATTAACACATGAATTCCTAATTAATTCAGGCACTGAATAAAGCCTTTATTATTTTCATCTTCATTCATTAGTACATGTGTTAGTAATCTTGTCTTGTGGTTGTTAATATATGACTTATTCATTTTTTCCTGATTTATCACTCATTACTTTCTGATTAGTTATTCATTAGTAAATGCCTTAATTACTACCAGTTCATGTACCCTTATCATAAAGTGTTACCCAGTGTTCTGTCTTGAGCCCTTTTCACAAGTACAGAGGACTGAAGACGTGTATATGTAAATGTGCAGAGCATTCTGTATTCTGTGCCATTCCCTGTAGCATATATAAGCTGTTTAGGACAGATACTGAAATAACTTGCTTTATGCATATCGATGAAACAGATTGCCATGAGTACAGGTAGGGAGGTCTTTCTGTATTCACCTCCCTAGTTTTACAGAGACTGCTGCCATACAAACCCAGCCTCAGGCGCTAGAGCTGCTCTCCTCGTTGTAATTTGCAGCCTCGCTGCAGTTCCGCCCTGTCAGAGGCCTTTCAGGCCTCATAAATATACAGCTCCCCAGCATCAGGTGCATCCGGCACGTCTCCATGGAGATGACTTGAGCTAGGAGTGAACGAGGGGTGGAAGGAGGACACAGAAGTGTGAAGAGAGAGGGAAGGAAAGCTGGGGAGAGATAAAAAGAGCGAAAGGGCAGCCATAACTTTTATAGATTCATTTCTTTCATCTCCTGGTGTCATTAATAGTCTGTTGGGGAGAATGGAAGTTTGCAGGGTTCTCCTACCACCCTCACCGACTCCTTCTGTGAAAGAGTCTTTCATCATGCAGCCTACATCTCAAAGTCCAGATACAGCCTCTCATTAGCTCCGATCCCTGTGTGGTAGACAATGAGGAGACATTAGGATGTTACTTTTATACCATTGAGAAACTTCTAGTTAATTAGCTTAAATTCACACAAAAATTAATTGATAACTGATGCAAAGCATGGTCCTGTTAGACCAGTAGGTCTCCAGTTTCATATGTGTCTGAAAAGAAAACAAGTGTCTTTAAAGCTTTGAAGCTGTCTGATTATCCCCACATGATATCATACATTATTTTTTATTACTTCAAGAACATCAGCAATTAAAGCATTTGCTTACTTACAAAAGCTGTGTTTTGGTCATTTAACTTGGTACATACACACACAATGTAGCACTGCAAATGAGATCCTACCAGTGTGGCTTTACACCCTTCAATAATGTGCATAATAGCTACTTGAGTGCTCCCCCTTGTGGAGAATATTCAAGTAAGTTGGTTACTTAGTTGACTAGCTAGTTATTTTGTGAGTTATAAGCCAGGGCTGCAGTACAGAAACTTCCTATCTTTAGTCCTAAGTTAAGATCTGATGGCCATGAAAAGATTTCTCACAAATTCATATTACAGAAGTAAATCTTATCTTTCTTTAGGAATATTATCATATCTTACATTATCTTATCTCACTTTGAAAAAGTCTTAAGCTTACATAATCAAAATAACGTAAACACAAATGTAAGTTATAACTTAGCTACCCCTTCTGCATTTTGGCCTTGTGGTTCCTCGCTAAGATATCCAAACAAATCATGTACTTTCATTTCTTCATTTCTTTGCATCTTGTTAGTAAGTAACTTTCTGTTTTTTTAATCTTGCACCCCCTCCTCCTCCTTATGCTTTGAAGGTCCATCTCATTCTAGTTAGCCTCCATGACTTAACTTTCTTTGTTATTATAATGTTTTGTTCTGAGGCAGTGGTATTTGTGTGATTGGCCAATGTCCACACACTGAGAATGCAGTGGGTCACTAATGTGTTTAGATATTTGCACTCCAGTATTCGCCCAGTATATGCCGTTTGTTCAGAGCGGTCTCCATTCATTTCATATAGGACTACAGCAGGATAGTGACCATACATTTCTCTCTCACTCTCTCAGTGGCCCCCACAAATAGCAGCACACTGGAAATTTTCCCAGTCCTCCCGATGGTCAGTCCATCACTGCTATAGAGAAACAGAAAGCATGCACTTCTTGTGTGTCCACAATAGTAATTTCAGCTAACACAAGGTTGTTGCACAACCTAGCACTCCTAGAATTGGGTAAGTATGTAGCAAGTATTACGTACACATGTGCTGCAAATGTAGGACATTTATTCTGCAGCCCACACACATGGCAGCCCACCAGGAATTTTCCCAGTCCTCCTGATGGTCAGTCCATCAGTGCTATAAAGAAATAGAAAGCATGCACCTCTCGCATGTCCATAATGGTCATTTCAGCTAAAACAAAGTTGTTGCACAACCTAGCATTCCTAGATTTAGGTAGGTATTTAGTGAGTAAGTATTAAGTACATATCTGCTGCAAACATATCACGTTCTGCTGGTGTGAATGCACACAGAAGTTACTAGAGTGTCAATCTTGTTAAATGTGAGTAAATGAGTGAGTGGGTCAGTTGTTGGGGCAGTCAGTCAGTGGGTTGGTTGGTTGGTCGGAAGGAAGTAAGGTCTTCAAGGTGCTTCACATCTAAAAAAAGGGAAATGAGAATGGTCAGTGTGGAATGTTTCCAGACTATGGTCACAGGTCCAGATAAAGAGGCACTTCACAACCAAGACATGCAAGGGCTGCATCTGAATAGTTTAATGAAACTCTCTTTCTTCTCTGCTTAGCTTCTGCAGGGTGTTGTGTTGGGAGTAGGGCAGATTTATGCCTGTGATGCTCTGGGGCCGACAGTGCTTATCCTTGGAGCCGTGCTGCTTTTCTCCCCCATCATGGCCCTCCACGCCTTGCTGGGCTCTGGAATCGGCACACTTGCAGGTGAGGTCCACAGTGTCTGCAGTAAAACTTTTAAGACTTCGACTTAGGTCTAGGACAAACATAAAAGCAGTTCATCATCGCATCCTTAGACTATTTTATGAATTATTGAGTATCGTTATGTGAACATTGCACTGAACACTTTTATTCATCCCTTAGGTTGATAGTTAGTACTCTGACCATACTTGTTTCATGTGTTCCTACACTTGAGAAGGAGACGTGATTTAGGGAAATATATCACATTCATATGCGCATATAGCAGTGTAACAGTGCCAGACAAGCTGCAAGTCAAAGTCAAGTCAAAGTTTATTTATATAGCGCTTTTTACAACAGGTGTTGTCACAAAGGAGCTTTACAGAAAAATCCGGGTCCAAGCCCAGTGGCAAAGAAAAACTCCCTAAGAGCAAGAGGAAGAAACCTTGAGAGGAACCAAGCCTCAAAAGGGGAACCCATCCTCCTCTGGTTGACACTGGAAAGCAGCATTAGTATAAAATATTAGAATACAAAACGGGGAAAAACAGGCAAAGCAATGGTTAATTAGACAGTTAGAGTTTATGCAGCAGCAGCAGCATCATCAAGAGGGTCAGATCATGCAGGTGAGATTTGCACAGCTTTATATAGCGTGAAGCTCCATGGTGGTCAAAACGGTGTAGATCAGCCACCAGAGATGGAGCTCTGGTGACTCTAGCAGCTCAGGTGGCTCCCATGTGGGGCTCAAATAAAGGGAGAGAGAGAGAGAGAGAGAGGACAGGGCTGTTTATGGAGAGATATTAGATAGTTAATAGTGCAAACAACTGATATTAGCAAAATGCTTGTGCAAACAGATAAGTTTTGAGTCTAGTTTTAAATGTAGACAGTGTGTCTGAGTACTGAACAGAGGTCGGTAGATGATTCCACAATTTTAGGGGTACGTAGGAAAATGCTCGACCACCTGCTGTGGTTTTTCTAATTCTAGGAATTGTCAGCAGTCCGTTAGTTTGTGAGCGGAGCATACGTGTGGGTTCATATGACTGAATTAATTCACTAAGATACTGTGGGGCCAGGCCATTTAATGATTTATATGTTGAAAGAAGGATCTTATACTCTACATGAAATATAACAGGTAGCCAGTGTAATGATGACAGGATTGGGGATATATGGTCAAATTTTTTGGTCCTTGTAGGGACTCTATCAGCTGCATTCTGGACCAGTTGGAGCTTGTTCAGTAATGTATTGGAGCATCCAGCCAAAATGGTGTTACAGTAGTCCAGCCTGGAGGTTATAAAGGCACCACCTTTTCTGCATCGTTTAGGGATAGAATATTACGCAGTTTAGTGATGTTACGCAAGTGAAAAAATGCAGTTCCAATGATGTTGCAAACGTGCATCAAAAGAGAGAGTGGAATCGAAGATGACACCTAGATTTTTTACAGTGATGCTTGGAATGACAGTGTGGCCATCTAAATTTAATACAAATTTGGAGAGTTGAGATCTCTCTGCTTTGGGTCCAAGTAGTAGAACCTCAGTTTTGTTAGGATTAAGAAGGAAATTGTTGGTCATCCAGCTTTTGATATTTTACTATTTACTGTATTTTATAAAACTGCATGTGTCCTGTTCTTTATTAGATCACATTGTATGCCCTGTGAAACGTATGTGTACATTTTTCTTCCACAAAGAAAAAATATGCAAAAAAATTCAGAGGGGGCTGGAAAATATATGTTTTTAAGGAAAGTACTGTCATTTTCCTTTAAGCCAGTTTAACATTTCTCATCATTCAGTGCTGCATTTTGTCTTTCACACACTGAGAATAATAGCAGGATTGTGGAGAAGTTTCAGTTGATACAACTTCAAAAGAGATGCAGATGTACCACCCACACATCCCTTTTCTTCTTCTCTCTCTCTCTATCTCTCTCTCTCTGTCTTTCTCAGTCAGTTCTTGTGGAATAGTACATACAGACTTTGAAGATGAACCAAGCTGCAGGGTGTATGACGTGTGTGTATGAGATGCTTTAGGGGAGGAGGTGATCTTCTGCTTCCCACTCCCTCAACCATATCATCACACACACATGCACACACAGACACACACACACACACACACACACACACACACACACACACACACACTGCCCCACCTCTGTAGACCCTCTGTGTCTGGTGTTGTATGACTCATACTTTAGGTCTTCTCTCTACTGCTGTAAGACTAGAGAGTAGTGAATCTGTGTGTGTGTATGTGTGTGTGTGTGTGTGTGTGTGTGTGTGAGAGAGAGAGAGAGAGAGAGAGAGAGAGAGAGAGAGAGAGAGAGAGAGAGAAAATGAGAGAGATAAACATTGAGAAAGCGTAGCCAATGCAGAATGTGTAGTGACAAGCGGTGCCTAATCATCAACTGCAGACACAAATGATCAGCCTCAGCGTGGGTGTCTGAAGGCAGTTAGAATGCCAGTCAGTCAAATGCAAAGTGCTTCCCTCTAAGGGCAGCTACAGACCAATGCACAGCACCATTAGTACCAATGCTGGAGGTCTGCACAGGCCTGAAACTGAAACCCAATCCCGACACATACGATTTTTGAGATCCAACCCAGCAAAACCAGACCTGACTAATGCTACTAAATTTGAAACCTGAACCCAACACAAACTCACTCACGCACACTAGTTGGATTATCACAGACGCAGTGCTTTGTGACTAAGTACTTGCTCTGATCGAGTGAAAATTTCATGCTGGGAGAAATTATAATTTTGCACATGGAGCTAATCTACAGGGTGGCAGGAGGTAGCAGCTTTCGCTTCCTCCGTAGCACTTGCCACCCCAACTCTGCAGTTCCTAAAATAAGACACAAAATTGTATTAAGCAGATTGGCCTTTTTTTTTTAGAGTTGCTTAAAAAAGAGCCCAGATTTGACCACCTCTAATGATGTACGAACGACTCTGCATCTGATTCCTGATACTTTAATATGATATGCAGACAAAATGAGGTTTGAACATAAATGATGAATTAACATTAGTTGATCAACTAATGTTCAACTAATGATCAACTGATTAATCAAGTGCCAGCCTACCACAACCTATTTACAGATCATTTACATAAAGCACGCCCTCATTCATGCAGATCTTTTGGTAGGGAGCAAATGACAGCATTCAGCAGCTCATGAGAAAATGGCTGTGCTGGTAGGCAGAGTTTGAGGTAGAGCAGCATCTTTTTAAAACATTTTTTAAGACAGTGAATAATGTAAATGCGTAGTGTGATCGTTTTCCTAAAATAATACATTTAAAAGATGTATTATTGCTGTGTCTAAGATGCTTCTGTATTACATACATACATACATCATCTAAACCGCTTATCCTTCTGGGTCGCGGTGTGCTTCTGTATTATTTATGGTTTATATTTTTAATATATTTTCTGGGTGGTATCAGTAGTATAAAACAAAAGCACAGTGTATTATGTCTTTAAATGGACATGGAATGGTTGCACATTTGTTTATAGCAATGCATAAAATAAGTACATCAAATTTTGTATTGGATTGCCATGTGTAAATATTACTAGTACTATTGTTTTTTTATTTTTATTATCATTATTTCATTCTTACTATGGGCATTATAGATGATATTGATATAGGTTTTGGTTAGTTAACCGCAAATCTTTTTTTTTTCAGGTTGTTAATTTTTCACACAAATTTACATGCAGTCCTACCAAATGTTAGTTTGGTCGTACAGATATGTCAAAGACGAAATTCATTCATAACAAGACTGTCTGAAATCTGTGTGTGCTTATTTTATGGTCAGATTTGACCGTATGCAACTTAAATAAGGGTCAATATGTCTGCAAATTGTTAAAATGGAAAAGAATACTGTGTAAAAAAAGAGCTAAATCTATTATTTTACTCTGAAACCCAGTATTTTGTCTGGGGCTGTTGGTCTTGGGTGGGTAGCAGACCCCAACCTCTGCTATGTACCTATAATGTGCCTCATTGATCCCTATATGTCAGGTGTTATCAAATTGGGATCCAGATTTCAGTACAGTTTGGTAATTTTCTTGCGCAAATACACCTGATTCAACTCAGCAGGTAGTTGCTAGGTTTAGTTGGTGTGTTTGAGAATGAAAATCACCAAACTGTATTGTTATGGCTATGAAATAATGTCTGAAGTAAAGGTAAAAAGAACTTGAGTAAAAGTACAGATGTACCAGATACCTTACAGAACTGCAGTAGAACATCTCAGTGCATGCAGCTTCTATCAGCATAGGACCAGAAGTCTGTTAGCCTCTATTCTTGTCATTCTGATGAACATTTGGTCATATCTTTTGATGTCAAAGAGTGACTGTTGTAATCTACTAAATAGTGTGAATAATGTAAGACGAAAAGGGAGGTCGTGCTATTTTGCGCTTATCTACAAATACTGTAAATTTACTTATAGGAGTTTCCCTCTCAGAGAACAAAATAATGAGATGAGATTAATATAATAAAGCTCCTACTCTGATTCACCAAGACTGATGATAGATGCTGACTGTGTTATTTAACACCTGTGAAAAGCTTATTTTAAGCTCCTTATATAGTCTTATTTTGGGCGCTAACATGGCTCAGTGTTTGTGCTCAGTGAGAAAAGAGTTTTGATGGAAGAAGAACTTGTAAATTCCTCCCATGTCAGATTATTCTTAATGTGTTCTTTCATATGTGGTCCTACATCTGATATATATATGATTTATGGCCATGTGACCTTCATGAGAACACACAGATTGGAATTCATGTGGGATGGCAGCAGTGCCTAATCTGAAGTAGAGGTGGGCATTATAAAGATATTTTATTGCTATCATGATAAATTATGTCACAGTATGCTTTCTGAGTATATCATGACTATCATCGCTACGTAAACAACACCAAACAACTGCATAAAGACAGTATAATTAGAAATTTCATTATGCTCGTAGTTTTTTACAGTATTTTTGGGAGTATCTTATCAGGTATTCTGAAAATGTCTTCAAGTTTTGTGATATTTTTGCCATATTGCCCACCCCCAACCTGAAGTGCCAGTAA